TACTACAGGCTGCTCCGGTTATAGGGCTGATCGCCAGCTCCATTATTCACCAAAAGCATTTGTTGCTGGTAGTGCCAAGTGCACTCCTATTTCGGAAAAGTACTGCCAGTTCTCCCTTAATTTTGTGCAATAGAGTTCAACGCAGTACCAGGTCATAATCAGCCGTGACTTTCGACTAACGGATTAACTGTCGTCTCCGATCTCGCTCTCTTCGGTAAAGTCGTATTTCGCGATAAAGAAATGGGCGGAGACTCGTAACCTCCGCGGCTCATTGCAGCCTTTTCCTTTTGATAAGTTAAAAATGAGGGGTGCTCTTTGCCCATAAAAGAAAAAAATGCACATTCATCTACGAGAACGATTCTACCCATGTGCGAGGTGAATGGATCCACAGCTGTGGTAGAAAGCCTTCATCTCCCTCAAAAGTGCACTAGAATGTGGCTAGGGATAGTGATACCCAGCTCCTCCTAAACCCGCCCGCGCTATCCTAAATGTGCAGCGCTTGCGTATCCCGCAGCGAAACATGCATTCAGCTGTAGAGAAGAAGAAGGAATGAGAGAGGCAGACAGGCAAGTAGCGCGTTTAGCTATGGCTAGGCTTAAGCCTAGTCGTGCGGCACAGCGAGCGGAGTATGGAGGGTGCACGCGCGCACCACTACCCTCCAGCCCCGTTCCGTGCACTTTGATGTGGAAAGTGGCAAGCTACTGTAGCTGCAGACCATTCACCCCACAAATAGCAAGGATCAGGACCCATGGGGATGACTGTGCCGGTTTTCTTGTTGCTGGTCTATAAAAGCATCCTGGGTCAAATAATGTATTCGCTTTTAGTACGCGAAGCGATCTTCGTCTGCGTCCTCTCAGACTACTCTTGAGCATTTGTTTGACAAATTGTTGGGAACAAGCTAGATGACCACTGCAGGATTCGTACAACGGCCAGGGCACGGCGCCCTACCCTGGGAATTCCCTCCTCTAGTACGACCTCCCATCATGCCCCATCCTACGTTACCATCCTCCTGGATTTTTCCAACTTCCTACCACTTTTATAGAAGTTTCTTTTCGAAAATGCTTCCACCCCTCCCTCGCCCTAAAAGCGAAAATTAACAACGCGAAACATTTTTCACATAGGCGAATGCACCCCCTCCCTGGGATCCCAACGTCGTGCCGTGACAGTAGCAAACGGAGCCTCAAACCACTACGCTATAGTGTAGTTCGCTGCGGACGGTTGGGCGTGTCCGTGCGGCTGCGCTTGGCGCGGTGCCAAACTCGTTCTACACCAGTTGTTGAAGCGGGCAAGTGACAATACTGTATCATATCCTTCGTATTACTAGTCTTCTACCACTTTTGTCAGACGCTCTTCAACAAGAAGGCAGAGAACGGCTTTGATAGGGTGACACACTCATACTGGCTGACACGCCCAACCGTCCGCAGAGAACTATAGTGTACTTTCGCCCAGTCAGCAGTATGAACCTATAGCCATCATTTGCTGGCATGGCAACACGTTAGGAGCTCACGGGGTACCAAAGCACAGACGGCTCTCATTTGGAATAAGTGCGGATCAGGATATTACTGTAGAAAAGTGGTTGCTGTTTTAGAAAGTAGTGCATGGATGCAAAATATTGGAAACAAGCAACGTGGCAAATTCGTTATGCTTTTGTGTGACGTAGACAATCCAAATGTGAACTACGCCATGGATTTCCTTTCACTTAAGCGCGAAGGTCTTCCCTATGTACGCTTATTTGTAAAATCGACCAATAGTGTATACAAGTAAGGTCCATTTTCTTTATTTTTATACTTTTGGAAGAATTTGTCAAAAAAATATTTGTAACCGTTCCAGAATGGAAGACAGTTTTGATGGTGAGATTAACGAAGAGAGTGTGACCGCCTTCATGAACGCTTTCGAGGAAGGAAAATTAAAATCCACTGTGAAATCTCAAGAATTGCCTGATAATTGGAATGCGACATCGTTGAAAACTCTTGTGGGAAATAATTTTGCTGAGGTAGGTGGACTTAACTATGAGAAAGCGATGATAGAGAAGAGATTATTCAGTGAGAGCGCGCTCATACTTCGCGATCCGATCGCTCGCGCGACAATGACTAAGCGACTCCACCGCCAATAGGTTCACCGCCGCGAGGCAGAATTGGGCTACGTTCAAGGCTGCGTGATCTCCTTAGCAATCTGACAATCCTTCACCGCCGCAAGGCAGAATTGGGCTACGTTCAAGGCCTGCGTGATCGCCTTAGCAATCTGACAATCCATGTGCTCCAGGTGATCGGATCGCGACACATGAAGGCGCTGCAAGTGGGGAGATGGGCTACACGGTGGCGCGAGCGAATGTGCCACGTCATGTCTGCTCGTCTAGCCCCTCTCACCAGAATAGTGTGAGATGAGTCTCTTTCCACCTGCATTCAATTGTGCGCGACGTTTGCATCAGTGCGTTACATTTCCATTGGTCTACTCTATTATTTGCGGGTGTGAAAATTATGAACAGAGTGGGCCCGATGTTCAACTATCAGTATCAAACAACGTACATTTACATGGACATAATATTAAGAGAGAATGTCAAGCAGTTTGGCATGATGCCAGAACTATGTGAAGGGGCCAGGATCCTATTTGCACGGTTTTATTGGTCTCGTCCAAGCGGCAGCAATCGCCGCGCGCGGCGAGGCGAAACATGGCAGCCGTGACCTCTCGTGGAGTCCCAACCTACACCCTGATTTGGCAGAGCCGCGCCACAGCATGCCCGCGGGCTATACTATTTTTGATTTTTTGAAGCTCTCCTTTCACTGCTGTAGATTGATCAGTTCCAGGTTGTGCAAAATAAGACGATGAATGTGCTCGTGCTTCTCCATACAGCCGAAACATCTTACACTATACCAGTATTCGAGAAAATAGCCGAACTCTATAAAGATGTGATAAATATTCTTATTGCAAAGATGGATGCGGATCATAATGGTATCGCCCCACCTTATAAGCCAGCCGAGATGATTCCTTCCGTCCGATTGTACGAGGTGAATGAATAGACTCTATTTGGTACAGAAATTGAGTAACAAGTTCTTAGTGTAAAAAAAAGCTCGAGTTTTTGGGAATAGATGGCACGCACTGCGTTCAGAAACGGTCAGTTGTGCGGCTCAAATACTAATTATTGCAAAGGAAGGGCGTGGTCAGACGGGTTCTCACTTATTGATGCCAGCTCTTTTCCTCAATACCTCACCAGGACACGTCCCGCCCTGAAGGAAATTTCTGGTAAATGCACCCCCTTCAAAGTACCTTCATCAAATACGACTCCTCCCCCCCCCCCCGGTCCCCGGCCTGCCTAGTATCTTGCCAATTTTTTCCCAGCTTTCTACCACATTTTTCAGAATTTCCCAAGAATTTTCCAGGTGGTTAGAGACAAGTTGTACACTCACCTTCGTGGATCCCGGCCCTTCCCATGCGCGAGGTGGGTGGCTCCACTGCTACAGCAGCGTGCCACTTTCCCCTTTCAGAAGCTGACCGATGACTGCAGGATAATGATAGCCCGGTGCCGTTTGAGAGCTCGCCTGCGCAATCGCATGGCCTGCCCAGTCTAACCAAACGCTCCAGTTGTCTGCGCCATTCCACTTGTCTTCAATCGCTTTACCATCTACGGGTTGCTGCGGAATTTTGGTACCGACGTAAGTGTTGCACCTAAGGCAGCTTCAGACTTGTAGCGCTACAGTTGTAGTGCGACAAGTCTGAACGCTGCCTTAGGATAGCGCGGGTGAAGCTTAAACGGATTAGGCTTAAAATTTTCTAAATCATCTTCTACACTTGCAGGAAACTACGAATATTGAAAGGATTTACGAAAAGGATGAGATTACTGAAGAAGGAATCACGACGTTCATTGAACAAACCACAGGAATAGTGGCAAAGCGTGAAGAAGTTCAACAAGTGAAGCCTAAACCAATAATTTCAGATCTTGGATCAGAGCCAGAGAAACACGTAGAGTTGTAGATCTGTATGTACAGTAGAGATGCTAGAGAAGTAATTTATAACTGAATGGGATTCCTACCGAGTTTTGTTTGCGTCTGGTAATGAGCGAAGTGAGGCGGCAGGCGTGTGTGCGCGACTTCAGAAGTCTTACTGTGTCTCAGTGCATGCAAGCGCCTACCAACAAATGACAGTAAGCTCGTCGCTAGTGAATACATGCATATCACTACAACTCAGTCGGTCTGACCATCAGTGGCTAACCTCGCCCGAAAACGCCACGCAAACTCGTTCGCCGCACACTTCTGCTTCGTACGTAATGTTTTATAGAAGTCTTGATTTTCAGTCTTCCAACCATTTTGAAAGCTCCGCGTTGCTTTCATATCCATCGTGCCTATTCCTCACTTAATAAATTTGATGTGATGCTTGCTTCTGTGGATGTTCCTCAATCTCGGCGAGTAATAACGGTAAGTTTTTTAGCTAACATAAAGGGTGAAACAAAAACTAGTGCTTGTCTCACCTTCACCTGTATCACCCACACTGGCCTAAATTTTTTTGGCCAGTATATCTGGCTACAGTTCTATCCCCAGAATGAGCGGGCCCAAGGGGTAAACTTTGTTGGTAAACTTGGTAAACCTTAACTTTTCTTAAAGATTCCAAAAAAGTTTGCCAACCCTCGAGCGATGCATTTTTGAAGAACTTCACCACTGGGAAGCTAAGCTAATATCGGTGTAGCATTCTGTATCTGTCAAAGAATGACTTCCCTCATTTATCACAGCCACAAGGAGCAGACTTGACAGTACGACTCTGCCGTCGTGGTTTGCCGTGCTGAATGCATGTACCTCACATTATGTTTCAACCTCTATTAAGTATGTTTTGAAAAGTCTCTACTTCCTGAAATGCCCCTATTTCTAGAATCGCCACATATGCAAGCCCTCCTGTCAAATACCACAGGCCCATATAAGCGACTGGAAATAAAACCAGGTACTCAAATTCGCTGTATACTCGCATGAACAAAAATGACACCAGCATGAAGCCATCATTGCCAACCATTAGCCCTGGTTGTGCATCAGCGAATAAATTATTCATATCTCAATGCATTAACAATTTTGCTGATAAACTCCTACTCTGAGTAAGTGACAGACTTACCGTGCACAGGAGCACTCATTAAAAAGTGGTAGCTGTTTTGAAGTAGGATAGATCAGAGCTCAAAAGTACTCTCGATTTAACCACTTCTAAGTTCAGCTACCCAGCCTAAGAAATTCGGTCGAAAGGCAAAAATGCCCTCAAAAACGGGAAAATGGTTAAGTAGGAGATTCGCACGTAATCAGTCGTCTATGTTGGCGCAGTGCCAGCGTAGGTCGATCAAGTAGTCGATCAAGTTATTAATAAACATGGACGAGTCGCCCTGTACACAATCAGGGTACAGCATGGGGATGTGTCAAATGGCGGTGGGTACACCCCTCCCCTCCCCTCGAGAGAGGTCTTAATACGACCCCCCCCCTCTGCTCTAACTTGACAAGCCAAAATGCATGTTCAGCCAACAAATGGCTTCCTGAAAGCGAATCTGCCGATTCTTAGAAAGGCGGACACTCTCTTAAAATACAGGAAATAAAAGGCTGTTTCAGCCTCATGCAATATGAGGCTGAACAACAGCCTCGCATTACCTACAATTTTGTCTTAGGATTCAAAATAAAACTCCTCGTTCGATAACTATGTATGTATGCAACTTGTAACAAGGAACACAATATGAAAATAGCCTATATGACTCATTGATAGGCTGAATTGGTGAAAAAAATAGCCCCAAGGTGAGCGTGTCAGGGCCCAGATGTGCATTCAATGAATGGTGACGGGGAAATAATGAAAACATGCACGACACAACAAAGCGAAACATGGAAAATACAAAAAATGCAGAGCTGAAAAAAGGATAACCAGGCCGCAGTAAATCGCTGCCCATTACTTGGCATTATCGCATCAGCTGCAGCGGCGCATAAGGCTGCCACCGCTTCTTTGCTACAAACGTCATTGGAGCGCGGCTGTTGGACTTTCTGCCAACGTCCTGGGGTCTGTTCGGGGGTTATATCTTTTTTTTTAGGTGCGGAGCTTTTGAGGAATGGTGAGCAGCATGCAACGGCAAAGTTTCTACTATTGTGTATTCTACCTAGCTGCAAACTGAACAATCCCCCGTTGGTGAAATATTCCGGATGGGTCACGGTTCGGCCAGGGGTAAATCGCGAGCTGGTTTCCATGATTCACACAAGGACTGCTTCGTTCAAACGCAATTTCATCAGGACTGAAGTCGTCTTGAAACCCCTCCATCTTTTCTCTTTCCAATAAGCTTTACAGTTTTTCTGAAGACCCACTAGTTCAGATTTTAGATGGGTCACAGATGCGCCACCCTCTGACCCACCCGAAAAATTGACTCTTATGATGCCCACTTGTCCACCCCGATACACCTTCGGAAACTTCAGTGTGCCTTCAAAACACATATTTCCCTTCAAATGAGTGAAAGAGAAGCTCGGCTATCTCTGATCGATTTGGTCCGTGCGCCGTGCATTAGGCTCCTACGCAGAGGTGGTGGAAAGGTGTAAATTCTGATTTCAGGTGCTTTTATCCATGCAAGCAGATGTTTGTTTAGGGTTTGTAAAGGACAACACGCACGAATCTGTTTGAGACGTATTATTTAGTCATCTACGTACTTACGAGTTCATGCTATAAACTGACACTTATTTATTTATTTATTCTTGCTATATTGCTAATAAATCTTTTATTATTTTGTATTCCTATTTACATCCGGGTCTTCTGAAGCTTTCCGTCCGTTCCATTACCCTTAGCAATGACACCTTTGTACTGTTTGATGCCTAGCGAGCCTACTTTTGCGATACTCCCCACGTCCCCCGCGGCCAAGTACGAACCCATTCTTGGGGATTTCCCATGAAAAGAGGGCTGTAGCATTTAAAGCTGTAAAGAATACACTCATAATAAACTTCATTTTTTTAAACATCTTGACTTCCATAGCTCCACTCCCACTATCAACTGAAATGTCGAAGCATTGCTCGGCTCTGAGTGACCCTTGAGATTACGACCCCCCCTCCCCAGCGGCCAAGTACGACCCCCCCCCATGGGTTTCGCACAACGATGCTGTACCCTGTACACGACACGCATCGCATCAGCGGACTGAGGGTGTCAATTACTGCCGAAGCGCCCCAATGGCAAACAGGCTGCGCCGAACGACATGCACCCAGAATGGCACCCCAATCGATCCCACGGCCGTTTCCCAGCTGATTGCGGCTGTTCCTGCGTCCCTCTTTGTTTCTTTCGTTTTTTTTTTTTTTTTTTTTTGGTTTTCTAATGAAGAGATTCTCTCCCAGTGGTCGGCCAAGCGATTAATCCGTATCAAGACGTTGTTCGCCATTTCGGAATTTCTGTATTTCTCCCAATTCCGCTTCTTTCTTAAATCGACATATACGTTGTACTGTCCACTGTTTCGTCTTTTTTTTCAAGTTGTCAAGCATGAATGCGACCTTAGGCTTTGTAGGGTGGGGGGGGGGGGGGGAGGAGGATCAGCACATTCGCTATTTCACATCCTCGTATTCATTCACAAAAGTTGACAGGTATTCCTCCAAACTTTGAGTGGTATCACTTTATGCCTTTACAACTTAGAGCCGTCATATAGGTATGCCTAGCTCGAGCTTAAAAAAACAAACAGCAAAAAAACCCCCTTTTCACTGTTTGTTTTTTTAGGGGGGGGGGTCGTACCCAACTCACCAAAAAAAGGGGGGGGGTCGTACGGGCTCGACCAAAATCCCCAACTAATGCTGTGCCCTGATTACGATTCTCTTGCCACATACGCATGGCTCTTACAGCTACTCGAATTTCTAAACGACACACGTGTGGCACTACT